CGTACAAAAGGGAGGTCGATTATGCGACTTCGGATCCTTCATTGATAGAATTTTTTCAAGAACACTGCGTTCCAGGGATATTGGTGTGGTGTTCCATCGGGATGAGCAATTTGGTAGGCCCCATGAGGTAGAATTTTGATGATTTGAAAGGGTCTTTCCCACCGCGGTCTGAGTGGTCCGGGGTCAGGCCCCATTATACGCTTGAGGACCAAATCTCCAACTCGGAACGCTCGGGGTTTGAGTTTAGAATTGATATATCTTTCATTTATTTGCTTGTACGCAACGTTCTTGAGTTCGGACCGAGTACGGTGTTCTTCAAGCAGGTCCAGATTTGCTTTCATGTTTTCCGAGTTGGCCTCTTCGGTGAAATGCTGAATTCGGTAGGTCGGTTCTCCGAGCTCCACCGGAACTACGGCTTCGGAACTGTTGTGTATATTTTTAACCGGAGTAGAGTCCAAAGATTCGACACCGGGTCGTATCACGAGGAAGATTAGCCGGATTATTCTATGCGATTATTCAATCACACGAAAATAAGAAACAAGTCCTAAACACTCTAATTCAAGTTGGAGATTCGATTTATCAACTACGAATAATAAAGCAAAGAGGCACGGAATTTCTAAGCAAACGATTAACTTGGTTATAAAGGAGTTAGGGAGTCGGGGACAATCGTTTTCGGTTCTTGACTCAATTACCGGGCAATCAATTGCTCGGTTAAGGGAATTGAATCGCCTACTCGTATAGAGGTTCACCTTCAATAACTCTTCGTAACAAGAAGGTGGACATACACGAGTAACTCATCAAGCCCTACAACACATAGACAATACAATAACGAACAAGTCTATTCCAAACGAGCCTAAGTCGACCGACGCCTCCCCTTTCGGTTCTAACGTCAATTGATTAGGTTAGATTGGTGATCAATCAACTAACCCTAGAATATGCACAACTCGCAAGGATTGAACAATTATCAAACACGTAATTGAAAACGAACCGAAACAATCGTCCCCTATCCCTAACTTATGGAATTAGCCACTCATCTCAACATCAACACAAGCATTCATCATAAAAGAAGCCATCACATTCATGAATAAGATGAAAAGAAAAGCTTACGATTAATACCAAATCCAAAGTCGATGAATCAACGAGCTATCCAAATCCAAAGCTAGAAAATAAGTTTAAATCCTCCAAAAATCCAAACCAAGATGAAAGATGGAGGAAAAGTAATATTCTAGGTGAAAGATAGATAAAAAAAACGAAGTCTAGATCTGTTTTTATGCCCTAGGCTCGATTATTACCCTTTCCAAATTCAAAATCCGCGAAAAACGCCATCGGTTACGAGCAGGGGAAAGCGGCACTATGGTCATAGCGCCGCTATGGCTGAGATACCCCCGAGCTGCAGTCCCTCGCTAAGCTGCATAGCGCCGCTTCTTTTCTGGCCATAGCGGCGCTATGGCCTAAAATGCTCTTCTGTCCCTCGCTTTGGTTCACAACGCCGCTTTCTCAACAGGCCATAGCGGCGCTATGGTCATAGCGGCGCTATGGCCTGGGCAGCTTCCAAAATTCCTCGACTTGGGCTCACGCGGTCTCGGCTAGCGTCCCTCGGGTCTATCTCGAGCTAGAAACTCAATCCTCGTATGCTCCAATCTCGCAAACGACACAGAACTCCTGGAGACCTGTAAACACCACCATCGAACAGACACAAAAGCAAGAGAAAATAGAAGAAATAACAACGAAAATGCTAAACACAACGAAAAATACTAAGAACTCGAGAATGACTAAAAAGGACCGGAAAATCCTAACAAAAGACCTAAAACGGGGGAAAACATCACACAAAATAGCAACGAAAATAGCAACAAAAACGGGACAAACAGGAACCGTAAGTTAGAGAAAACGGGGTCTCACCGGTAGACGTCCGAGTGGTAGTTCGGTAAGCCCACAGGACATGTGGCAACTCTTCAGGCCAAGCTCCTTTGGCGGCATCAAGTCGGACTTTGAGGCCGTTCTTTATCAGTTTGTTTACGGCTTCAACCTGACCGTTGGACTGCGGGTGGTAAGGCGATGAGAAGAAGTGCTTGATGTTGTACTCTTCACACAGGGATTCAAGTCGTTTGCCTTCAAATTGTTTGCCGTTGTCGGTTATGATGGAATTCGGCACCCCGAAGCGACAGATAATTGACTTCCACACAAAATCTACGACCTTCTGTTCGGTTATCGTGGCTAACGGTTCGGCCTCGGCCCATTTAGTGAAATAGTCAACTGCCACGATAGCAAACCGGACACCTTCCTTTCCGGTTGGTAGAGGACCAATAAGATCAATCCCCCATTTGGCGAAAGGCCAC